TGCAGCTCCATTCATAATTTTGGAAGAAGCCCAAGTGCTCATTGACCCATGAATGGATCAATAAATTGTGGTATATGTATACCATGGAATACTATGCAGCATTAAAGAAAGATGGAGAATTTACCTTTTTTATGTTTACATGGATGGAACTGGAAAATATTCTTCTTAGTAAAGTATCTCAGGAACGGAAAAGAAAAATGTCCAATGTACTCAGTACTACTATAAAACCAATTTATAATCACTCACACTTTCATATGAGAGATGAATCACACTATAGCCCAGGATGGAGGAGGGAAGGGGAGGGGGATGCGAAGGGAGGGGGCTGGTTCAATAAAGGGAGGGTTAATGGTGGGACCTCACCTATGAAGCATATCGAAAGGGTACAAGTCAAATCTATCAAGTATTGAACACAAATGTCTTAACACTGTGATTAAGTCAATGAAGTGAAAACTATGTTAATTAGTAGGCTGTAAATACTCCAATTTGTACAAATAATCAACACATTGAATCCAACAAAGGCGTAAATGTATTCATGATCTATGTATATATGATTTAATAAAAAAAGGAAAAAAGAGAAATGTTTTCTGCTTCCAAAATTATAAGTACATTTTCCTGCTTTTTATCTAAATGTTGCTTAATTTTATTTTTATGTAAATGTTTCTTTATTTCATTTTTTATTTTTACATGTTTGATTCATCTGGAAGTTATCTATGGAAGCCAATTTGACTCTTCCCCCACCCCAATTGGCTAGCTAGTTTTCTAAGCACCAACTAAGTTTAGAAAAACCTCTTTTCTCTCCTAGCGCTTTAAAATAAATGGTACCATGATCAGAGTCTAAATTCTTCGATGTCTGAACTTCTATGTCTGGGTTCACCCTTGCATCCCACTGTTTTGTTGGCCCATTTATCCCTTCCTTTCCCTTTCCTTCTTTTTCTTTTTTTTTGAGACAGTCTCAAGCTATCGCCCTGGGTAGAGTGCTGTGGCATCATAGCTCACAGCAACCTCCAACTCGGGTTCAAGCAATACTCTTGCCTCAGTTTGTTCTATTTTTAGTAGGGATGGGGGTCTCGCTTTTTGCTCAGGCTGATCTTGAACTCCTCAGCCCGAGCAATCCACCTGCCTCGGCCTCCCAGAGTGCAAGGATTACAGGCGTGAGCCACTGTGCCTAGCCCTCATTTCTTTATCATAATTTATAGTGATATTTCGGCTTCACAATCCATTTCATTATCTACTAGTAGTGTTAATCTGCCCACATTAATTTTCATTTTCCTAAACGTTCTTGGCCATTCTAGGAGGATAGCAGACACAGTAGTTTGTTTTATTTTAAGATGCAGTTTGATGAAACCCATCCGAGCGCTTATAAGTCAAGGATGAGAAATTTGGGTCATCTTGGATCATTAACATCTCCTAATGGCTGAGCTCCTTCTCCTCGTAAATGTGAGGAGAAGGAATAGGAATTTGCAATAGGAAAACCCTCTCCAGTAGCTCCTTTGGGACACAGACTTGCTGCACCCTTACCCTGCACCATCCAGCCTCTACAAATCAGTCCCCTGACCTCCCACTGAGTGTGACATCCACATGCTCAAGATGTGAACTGAATGCACAATTTTACAAGAACAAAAATGTGGGTACTGATTTTCAATACAGACCCACACTGGAGGACAATGGTCTTAATCCAGAGCCCATTTTCTTCAGCCTCTGCAGCCTCCCTGGCCCAGCCATCTCCCCACTGAGCTTCCACCACACCTTCTGAGGTCTGTTCCCCATCAGGAGCTAATGACCCTTTGCTTGGCACCCTCCACAGCTCCCATCTCACACAGATTAAAGTCACCATCTGTCCTTGCCAAGCCCCTGAGGTCCTCCGGAGCTCCATGGCCTCCCCTCCCCACTTTCTGTCTCCTTGATCTTAACAGACCAGGAGTCCTGCCTCTCTGGCACTGCCTGTTCCCTCTCCCTGGGATGCCATGGCCCTGCCAGCTGCTTGCCTCACCCCCTCCAGGCCTGTTGGAATATCACCTCGCCAGGTCACCCCCTCACACACATACACTTGCCCCTCCAGCTTTATTCCACCACAGAAGTCACCCCACCACCAGATCCATGGAAGGCCTGTCTCCTCACCATAATCTCAATTTCCTAGAGGCCAAGAATCTGTCTTGTTTCTGTCATACAGATGCTCTGTTTGAAACCCTCGCAGAATGTCAGCATGGACAGACCAGGAAACTTTACCTTGGGCCCTGCTGGTGGTGCCACAGCTTTCCTCAGTGTAACACTGCACAGAATGCTGCCACTGCCCAAGATGCTACCTGAGGAGTTTCCTCAAAGACAGCTGTCCTCCCTATCCCTACTTTAGGGTTCCTGGGCCTTCCAGACTTCCCTAATGGTCTGGGTGTAACCAGAGGGAGTGACTATTATCTGGGAGGTACTTAAACATTGTGGCCAAGTGTGGCTTTCCCCATTGTGGGGGGTTGGGGGAAGGGAAGCACCCAATTAATGAACCTTTACTGGAAACCTCATGTGAGTGTGTCCAGTTTGTTATCCCCACCTCCACCAGGTCTCCATGCCAGCTTCTCTTTTGCATCTTCCCTGACAACTTCCATTCACCTTTCATAAAACCCTGACCTTGATCCCTGAGGATACTTCCCTTTTCCCAAATCTGATTTATTCCCTACAACCTATGTCTGCACTAAAATCCTCAGGAGAAATCATTGAAGATACAGGTCCCCATATACAACCCTCAGGAGATCCCAATTTAGCAGGGAGGGGCACGAAATGATAATTAAAACAAAGATTCCAAGTGACTGATAGACTACCCTGCTTCAAGAGTCCTTTGGGGTGGAGGGGTCCTTGGGCAGAGGTAAAATTTTTAGCTAAAATATCTCACCTTCTGTGAATGGGAGGGGAAGGAAGGGTTTTCCTCTTCCAGTTGTTTTTAAAAATAAAGCAGCACTTTCAGGGAATTACGTTATCAGATTCCCTAGAAACTTCTAGAAACCCTAAGACCTGTGGGAGAGATCCTTCCACACTAGAGGAAAGTAAAAAGGAGAAATGGTTTCTTGTCTCATGGAACATTAACAATTCTTTTTTTTTTTAAGAGAGTCTTAACTTTGTCACCCTTGGTAGAGTGCTATTGCGTCACAGCTCACATCAACCTCAAACTCTTGGGTTCAATCGATTCTCCTGCCTAGATATCTGCCCGCCATAATGCCTGGCTGTTTTTTGTTGCAGTTTGGCCGGGTTCAAACCCACCATCCTCGGTATAGGGGGCAGGTGCCCTACTCACTGAGCCACCAGGAACATTAACAGTTCTTGAAGCTCAAACTCAAGTCCGAAGACAACTTGTATAGGAGTATGTGCTATTTAGCAAGGGAACCCTTTCCTCAAAATAAATAGTCTGTGCGATCTACATTTCTAGAAGAGACTAAACAGGATACGTAGTTTGCTAAATTTTATTTTGTATGTGTACACTTACATTTAATAATCATGGTGTTGATCTGCTAACACAATGAAGCCCTAATAGATGTGATTTTCAAACCAGGAGCTAGACAGTTGCAGGCTCTTGGCAGCTTCAAAGTCTAATTCACTCCTGGCTTCTGTCTTGCTCACACCCAGGAAAACCTTGATGCACACACACCAGTAGCTGCAAATGGAAAGATGCTGCATCTTCAATTAGACTCATTCAGGTTTTTGAAATAAATCGTCACAAGGAATTTGTTTTAAAGTTGAATCACTAACAACATCTAACAACTGTGTTCACATTCTGTCTCACAAAAATTAAAGTCAGAAAAGATACTCTGAAAACTTACAAAGGCTAAAACTCTGACAGAATATATTATTACTGTGCACCATGTTAATACATTTACTTGCTGTCACATAACTGAAGCATCACAGCTGAGGAGAGAGTGTGTGAATTACAAAAGGAAACATCTCTTCCGGAGTGTCACATTATAGCACATGCACAGGCCTGGATTTTGTCCATTTCTCTCTTATCAAAGTCACATTTACAAGAAATTCAATATACAGAAACAACTAACTCGAGATCTGTAGAGAAACAAATTAATACATGAACACAAGGTAATATTCTGATAGTCTTCATTGTGACTGGTTTGGTTTACAACATTTCTGAGTAGTCACTTTTTCACTGTTTTTAGAAGCACATGAAAAAAATAGATTTGGATTACATCTTGTGGATGCCGTGGGGACTCCCCAAGACACAGTTTGGGAACCACTGATCTTTGGGAACCACTGATCTCAGGGTCCCTGCCCTCTCCCCTACACATGCACACACACAACACATGGCAGTCTGGTCTAACTTAATGTCTAAATTCAAAGGGCAGAAATTAATAGCTAATTTTTAAAATATTTTTTCCCTTTTATTATAAGGAGATGTGGTCTTAAACTTTAAAGATGGTGATGTTGGGTGGGAGGATGTACCGGATGGAGTCACAGCTACAGAGTCAGAAACGTAGGAATGCTCAAGTCTTTCCCTACCAATCATCCCTCTTCCCTAGAGGTTTCCTGAGAGGCTCACCCCAAATGGGAATCAAAGTGCTATTTTTGTTAACAAACTCTAAAACTCAAATACTTTAATAGCCTAAGCAGACATTCTTTTCTCCTAAGACCTTCTGGCTAGATAACTAGAGAATGGAATGTGAAGACCAAATGAGCAAGAAAGCCAGGTCTACATCAAGGTCCTGGTTTAACTTACCTGCTGGTTGCAGGACTGGCTGGGAGAAAATGGCTGCCTGGCTTTTCAAAATCCTAGGCCCTGTGAAGGTCACTGGCCATCCCAAGGAGGAAGAAGGGAGTTGGGAAGAAAGGGTGAACGTGGATGAATACTAACAGTGACCCTATGTATAAAGGGGAATGGTTGTTCTAGAAATTTCCCAATCCAATTACCAACTCTCCTGCCTCTGAAGGTAAGTTGAGGGTTGACAAAGCACACTTGATAGAGAAGGGCATACAGCCATAACCCCCCACACCCTCCCACCTAAGATCTCACCTATTAATTACCTCTAAAAGTTAAGACCTCTACAAACTGGGTCCCTAAAAGAGTCAAAAGTCTTGTTTTATCCAATGACAAGAGAAAACTTGGCTCCTGACTTGGAACTTCTCCTCAGGAACACCTTGGAACTTCTTCATTGGTCCTCTTTCAGCTCCTCAAATCAAAGCTTTCTGGATTCTGTGGATAAATTAGAACAATTCACATACCCTGATAAATGACATAACCACAAACCATTAAATTCACACTAAAGGAGATAGTCAGATGGAGTGACAGAATAACTACAATGACACTCATCACTAAAAGAATTGGTGGGTTGTTTTGCTGCCTTTTGCCTGCCAGGTGTCCCCAACATTGGCCCTCAAGGGTCCTCAGAGGGTGGTTCTGGCTCTCATCCTCTAAAACCTCAACTGGCATGTCACACACCTTCTCCAATGCATTGGAGTCTTGTTCATGACCCTCTTGACCACCACCCCTTCCCCAGGCTCTTTTCCTACCTGCCACTTGCTCCGCCCACCTAGTCATCTCTGTTGTTATTCTCACCGTTGGTGTCCTCAAGAGGAGAGCCTTCTGACTTTGACTTTGGTCCCCTGGATGTTGAGGCTGGTGACTCAGTGGGCCTCGAGCTGCGAGAGGCCTTCTGAACTGATGCATCCCTTCTTGAGCCTGGCCCCTTCTTTGGGATCACAGGCTTCTTCTTGGCATCTTCTGAGTTAACAAGGACGTAAGAGACAGGACCCAAGCTCACCTTCTTCTTCTTCCTCATGGGGGCAGGATTCTTTCCTGAGGCCCAGCCCACTGCCTTCTTCTTCCGGGTGCTCTCCTGACCGCCATCTTGGTCAGACTCACAGGCCCTGCCAAGGCTCTTGGCTTCTGCTGCGGCCTCCTGAGGTGGGGTTCTGGGAGCCTTCCAGGCACATTTTGCCATAGGCTTCTTCAAAGCCACCTCTTCCTGCTTTACACAGGGCTTTTGGTTGCTCTTGGTAGATTCTGAAATCTCCATGCCTTCAGCATTGCCAGCCTCAGGATCCTCCAAGCAGGCTGCGCCACTGGAATGGTTGCCTTTGGGTTTTTTCCAGGGTACTGGTTCCTGCTTGAGATTTTTTCTCTGCTTCTTTCTCCTGGAGCGGGTCTTAGCTCCAGTCTTTCGAACCAAAGGTTTCGGAGGGTCATCCTGGTTTTCCACCTGGTTCCAGTTGTTGGGGCTCTCTATCTTCAAGGCAGAGCCCACTTCTGCAACCAGCCCTGGCTCCTTCTTTACGTTCTTCCCTGTTGCTAAAACCCAGCCTTCAGACTCCTCAAACTCAATAGCCTCCCGAGCCCTAGCTTCCTCCCTATTGCGGATCTCAGCATCCATGTAGAAGATGATTTGCACTACTGCCCCCAGGAGCGCTCCCAAAGATTCTGCCCAGTTCTGTGAGGGTTGATTCTGGTTCTGGGATGGCGGTGGGTGGTTAAGCTGGAGGAGGCGGACCACGTCCTCCCAGGTGCGCCCCTCAGCATCCAGGAATTCATTGAGATTTTTTAGAAACTCAGCATCCTGGGTGGGGTCTCTACAGACCACTCTCCAGGCACCGCCTCTTCCTGGGAATTCCCTTGGTATGGCGCTGAGATTCACACCCTCACCGACCTCGATGAGGGCAGCTTTGGCATTTTCTTCCCTCAAAAAAATCTTGTTGAGCACGCGGTAGGAGCCCAGTGGAGAAAGGACTCTATTCAAAGTCTCCTCAAGTTCTGCTTGTCCACAGTCCTCTGGGATGCCTACAACCAAGAGAGACCTGTGGATGTCGACTTCCATCCCCCGGCACCAATCCTCCAGAAGGTTCATCGCCATGGTCTTGGACCCTTTGCGGCTCTAATCCCACGTATAAGTGAAGAGTCGACAAGGGAGATGTGGGCTGCCCAAATATTAACTCTGCAAGGTCACAAGAGAATAAGGTGAGAATTCTAGGAAATTGGAAAGCTCAGAGATCCCTGCTGCCCCCTCTGTGGCTGGCGAGCAGGACTAAGCCTCGAGCTTTCCCAAGACCTTCCTCCCCCGCTCGGGCCCCGGGTGCTCACACGTGTCCAGGAATCTGCCGCAAACTGCCCTCAGCTCCTCCCCGGGGTCCGGGGCGCCGCCTTCCCCACAGGGATTTATTTGGCAGTTCCGCCTCCGAGAGTCCCGCTAGGCCAAGGACAGGCCGCTGTGGGATGCAGCCGCTGCCGGGGCGTTGGATCCGGCCACCTGACGCAGCTCCTCGGAGGCAGGAGCCGAGAAGCCGGAGTCCGCCCGAGCAGGTCACGCGGTGTCCCGCCTCGATCCCGGCACCTGCGCGGAGCCGATGCGGGCGTCGCAGCGCGCGCCTGCGCACTTGCTTCCGCGCCGCCGCTCTGGGGCTTCGGGCCCCGCAGGTCCCGAGGTCTCCATAGCAACCGACCGTTGGTTGCTAAGACCCGGCTAGGTTGGCGAGCTTGCTCCACAATACGGCTTCAAGCCGGGTAGAAGGGCGGACGTTTACGTTACCACCGAGTCCGGGTCTGGACGTGCTCGGATTGCCCCTCCTGGCCCTCTCTTTCCACCCCTGACTATGTGGGCCTCGGGAACTGTGGCGGGGTGGAGTCTGTGTCGACACCAACCAGCACTCGTCCTCTGCCCTCCTGTTGGATCAGCGAGCGTGAACTCCTGACACTCAAATCCGAGGGCAGGAGGAAAGAGCATCTCCACCCTCACCGCCACCCCCACCCATTTCCTCTAACAAAAGCCACAATAGCCTTCTCCAATTCCTGGGTTCCTCCATGAATTTCCAGAAAATTCTAGAAACTTCTCATGGGCTGTGGCGCGGTGACTCGCGCCCCAAATCCTTGCACTGTGGAAGGCGGAAGCAGGTGGATCAGAAGTGGAGCTCAGAAGTTGGAGACCTGTCTGAGTAAAAGCGAGACTCTCGTCTCTACTAAAATTTTAAAAAACTAGCCAGGCATTGTGGCAGGCACCTATAGTCTCAGCTACTCGGGAGGCTGAGGCAGGAGGATCTCTTGAGCCCAGGAGTTTTAGGTTGCTGTGAGCTATGATGCGACAGCACTCTACACAGGGCTACAGAGTGAGACTCTGTCTGAAAAAAAAAAAAAGAAAGAAATTTCTCAGGGTCCTCCCTAACCCCGTTAGCGTTACCTTTCCTTGTTGGTTCCCTCAACTTGCTGCCCGCGGACAGCACCTTTGTTAACGGTTAATTAAGCACTTTTTAGGCGGCGCGGTGGCTCAGCCTGTAGTCCCAGCACTCTGGGAGGCAAAGGTGGAAGGGTCACCTGAGCTCACGAGTTGGAGACCAGGCTGAGGTAGAGCGCTGTGGCGGGCGCCTGTAGACGCAGCTGCTTGGTGGGCTGAAGGAAGAGAATCGCTTGAGTCCAGGAGTTTGAGGTTGCTGTGAGCTATGACGTCAGGGCACTCTGCCCAGGGCGACAGAAACTCCGTCTCAAAAAAAGAAAAAAAAATTAAGCACTTTCCTCAGCTTGAGTTGCCATCTGTCTCCAGCCAAGCCCTCACTGACACACACCCAGCAATGCTTCTGCGGAGCTGTGTGATCTTAGACAAGTGACTTGAGTTCTCTGACCCTCTTTTCCCCCCATCATAGGAACAAATAAAAACTTTCATGATCTGGAAGTTTTCAGGAAGATTCAGGAAGATCACGTACTAAAGATACACTAAAGTGCAATTAGAGCCAAGGTATTCAACCAAAATCTGGTCTTTGGGTTCAGTTTTGGAATTGCAAGGCTAAATTCTCGAATGCCTATTTCACTGCCATCTCTGACATCCCCAACTTGGGCGTGATCGGTATTTGTGTAACTAGGGAAGTTCCCGTCATATTTTGTGCAACAGGAAAAACCCATGTCCTTCAAATTAACACCTCAATATTCACTTCTAAATATCCTGGTAAAGATAAACACTCTAGCTGTAACTACAGTTTTAAAATTCCACAGACGTCCCTTATTCCACTCTTTTCTCCCTTCTCACTACTGTACCTGACTACTCTTTAAAAAAAAAAAAGTTAGGTACTTTATATGTTGAAATTCTTATCAGTTGCTGAATGATTGTGTATCATCATGCAGTGGTTTTAAAATATGCCCATAAATTCTCTGACACTCTTAATGAGAAGTGGAGATGTTATGTTACCTCCCCTAGAATCTGAGCAGACTTGTAACCGCTTTAGCCAATAGTGGTTGAAGGAAAATTAACCACTAGAGGATGGTGGAAGGAGGATGAAGCCACTTCTCAGAGTAGGTTACAGAAGACCATGCAGCTTCTTCTTCCTTCACTGGGACACTCTCATTCTTGGATCCCTGAGCTTCCAAGTAAGAAGTTCAATAATCCTCTGGCTGCCATGCTGTGAGGAAGCCAAAGCCACACAAAAGCTGCATGTCGGTGCTTCAGTCACCAGTTCCCAGCTGAGCCCAGCCTTCAAAGGATCTCAGCCCAGGCACCAGACATGTGAGTGAAGAAACTTCCGGATGGTTCTATCTCTCAACCATTCGAGTTACCCATAACTGTTCACATATTCCCAATTGAGGCCCAGACATCAAGTAGCAGAAACAAACCATCCATTGTTGCTGAACCCTTTGTGAATTCCTGCCCTGTAGAATCTATGAGTAGAACAAAAAAGGTGTTGTACATCACTGAGTTTGGGGTGGCTTATTATGCAGCAATAGACAACTGAGAGATACTGCAAAGGTTGGATGCAGCAAAAAACGATGATGCTTGGCAAAGCATTACTGCAACAGAAAACAAGAGCAAAAATCTTAAGTCTACTCCTGAAAAGATTCCCCAAAGCAGCTTTGTCAATCAGTGCACCAAGTTGCACTTCATGGAATTATTTCAACAGTTGAAAAAGAGGTAGCTCTTCCACTTCAGTTACTTTTAGTGAGAAAGGAAAGCATGATCATTCAGTCACCCATCGCCATTAACAGAGCTGGTAAAACAAAACAAAACAAAAACAAAACAATCCCCCCCAAAAAACTCTTGTTCTTTCAGCATTTAGCATCAGAAATCAGTAGGGTAGCCACGTGAACAAGCTTGTAGCTAGTAGCTGACTGTGCTCTGAATTTTTTTGAGATAGAGTTACACTATGCTGCCCTTGGTAGAGTGCTGTGGCGTCACAGCTCACAGCAACCTCACACTCTTGGGCTTACACGATTCTCTTGCCTCAGTCTCCCAAGTAGGTGGGACTACAGGAGCTGGCCACAATGCCTAGCTATTTTTATTTATTTATTTATTTTTTTGCAGTTGTCATTGTTGTTTAGCAGGCCTGGTCTGGATTCCAACCCGCTAGCCCTGGTGTGTGTGGCCGGCACCCTAACTACTGAGCTACCCTGGTGCCGGGCCTGTGCTCTGCAATTATAGTGCCAAACTTTTCAGGTTTGGTTACTAAATTTTTTTTTAAAGTAAAGTTGTGATGCAAATTTGAAGTTTTCCGTAGAATTTCAGATTTATTTTTACACTTCCTTAAGTTTACTTTATGATGGTGATTATTTTTTTTTACCTTTGTCCAAATACTCAGCCATTCAACATTTTGTCAAAATATGTATTGGTTCAGATACGTAGTAAGCTGTTCTATTGTTATTGTAAAGACAAGAGTGGCAAGGGTCCTGCCCATGACTGAGTATTCTTCTTTTATCATCTTTCCAACGACCTGGAGTTTGTTATAAGATGATTAGCTGTGGGTCCAGGAAAGTAATAAAAGGATGTGGCATAATTCCTACCATAATTGCTAATAAAAGGCTGTGGCCAATAATATTAAAATCTAGTACCAGCACAGGTAACTGTTGCAGATTTGCTGATTGAGCATGGATAAACTGAAAAAGTCAAAAAATAGTAAGAGTTGATGAGGAGAGGAGGAACTAGAACTCTTGTCTGTGTGCATGGATGGTGGTAATGTATATTAGTACAATGACATAAGAAAACTCGGGCAGCGCCTGTGCCTCAAAGGACTAAGGTGCTGGCCCCATATGCCGGAGGTGGCAGGTTCTAACGCAGCCCCAGCCAAAAACTGCAAAAAAAAGATTAGAAAACTCTGGCTGTATTTACTAAAGCAAAACATATGCAAACACTATAACCTAACAATGTATGCAGAAATATGTTCACTAAAAGATGGGGACAATGGCCAAGCACGGTGCCTCACGCCTGTAATCCTAGGACTCTAGGAGGCCAAGGCAGGTGGATCGCCTGAGCTCAGGAGTTCCAGACCAGCCTGAGCAAAATCGAGATTCTGGTCTCTACTAAAATAGAAAAATTAGCCAAGCATGGTGGTGGGTGCCTGTAGTCTCAGCTACTCAGGAGGTTGAGGCAGGAGGATCACTTGAGCCCAGGAATTTAAGGTTGCTGTGAGCTATGACACCATGGCACTCTACCTAGGGTGACGGTATGAGACTCTGTCTTAAAAAAAAAAAGATGTTGTACGTATGTATATACATATATATCATGCATTCCAAAATATGTGAGATGAATATTTCAGAAAATTTTGCTGTTTATATGTCTGTATTAGGGATATGTAAGTATATATTTATAAATGTACAATTACATGTGTATGTATGTGTGCATTTGTGTACACATATGTATATGTGTGTATGTGTTAAATGGAGTCGGCTGCCTGCCCACGCTGTCACTGAGGAGCCACCCTTTTTGCCAGCAGATTTAAAAATAGTTTTGAAGCACCCTTAGTAGGAGTTATGACTGTGGTTTCCATGAGAACATGTGGTACTGTGGTTTCTATGGCAACAAGTGCTACTATGGCTCCATGACAACACATTGCCCTGTGGTTTCCATGACAATGCATCCCTGCAGCCCCAATCCTCCCATTCATCCTGCACCCTTCCACCCTCTTCCTCTCTGTTTTGTCTTTGTGTTTTTATTTTGTCCTGCTTTGTATTTTGTCTTTTTGAGATAGAGTCTCACTCTGTCACCCTGGTTTGAGTGTCATGGCTTCCTTCCAGAGTGCTAGGATTACAGGTGTGCCACCATCCCTGGCCCTGCTTCGTATTTTAAATGATAACCCACTGAGCTTCCATAAATACTTTACCCAAAGAAGGCTTAGGGGTCACTGGGCTCCTGCCTAGATTTCCTCTCCTGGGTAAGTTGTAACAACCCATCATGGTGTTTCTGTGGCTCATCCTGGCTTGTTCTTGTCCGACTTATCCTGTGAGAGCGCCTTCTCACTCAGGAGTTTCCTAAATTTCTATTTTTCCCTCTCCCTCCCCTTCCTCCTCACCCCCAAATTATGCCATTTCCCTGGCCCCACCCTCCAGCCCTCAGATTACCAACCTCAGCATCTGGTGTGAGTCTGCACATATATTTCTCCATTTCATACAATCATTTAATATAGACTTTTTTTTTTTAGAGATAGTCTCACTTTGTCACTCTCGGTAGAGTGCCATGGCATC